ATCATGTTTAATGGTGGTCGGGAACAAGGCAAGGGTATCTGTTCTCTCTACTCTACTCAGTGTTGTACTAAAGTTTCTAGCCAGTGCAATCAGACAAGAAAAAGGAATAAAAGACGTTCAGACTGGGAAGGAAAAAGAAAAACCCTGTCTTAATTCACAGATAACATGATCCTGTACATAGATACGCTTAAGGAATTCACAAAAAATCCTATAGAACTAATCAACAAGTTCAGCAGTGTCCCAAGATCAAAATCAATATACCAAAAAAAAAAAAAAAGTATATATAAAAACAATGAACAATCTGAACATGGAATTAAAAAAAAAATTCCCTTCACAATATTATCCAAAAAAATACTTAGGAATGTTGTTCTTGTTGTTAGTTGCCATCTTGTAAGCCCCCGACTCATGGTAACCTAATGCACAATGGAATGAAATGCTGCCTGTCTTGCTCCCTCCCCATAATGGGTTGCAGATTGGACCATTGTGATCCATAGTGTTTTCTTTGGCTGATTTTCAGAAGTAGATTGCCAGGCCTTTCTTCCTATCTCTCTTAGTCTGGAAGCTCCACTGAAACCTGTTCAACGTAATAGCAACACACAAACCACCACTGACAGACAGGTAGTGGCTGCACACGATGCGCATTGGCTGGGAACTGAACCCAGGTCTCTTGCCTGGAAGGTGAGAATTCTACCACTGAACCACCAGTAAGGATTTAGGAATAATTTTAACAAAGGAAGTACGAGACTTATATGCTGAAAACGGCAACAAATTGCTGAGAGAAAATTTAAAAATTTATAAATGGACAGACATTCCATGTTCATGGATTTAAAAAAATATTGTTACGATGGTGTCTTGTTTATCTAGTGCTACTATAAAAGAAATACTATAAGTGGATGGCTTTAACAGAAATTTATTTTCTTCCAGTTTAGGAGGCTAGAAGTCTGAATTCAGGGTGCGAGCTCTAGGGGAAGGCTTTTTCTCTCTCTTGGCTCTGGAGGAAGGTCTTTTTCTCTTTGGAGCTTCTGCTCCTGGACAGTCTTCATGTGGCTTGCATCTTTCTTCCCCTGTCTCAGCTTCCTTCACTTGCTTCTTTAATCTTTCTTATATCTGAAAAGAAATTGACTCAAGACACACTCTAGACTAGTCCTGTCTCATTAACATAACAAAAACAACCCATTCTCAAAGGGGATTATAACCACAGGCATAGAAGTTAGAATTTACAACACATATTTTTTGGGGGACATAACTCAATTCATAACAGATGGCAATGCTCCCCAAGTTGATCTATAGATTCTACACAATCCCTGTCAAAACCCAACAAGCTTTTTGTAGAAATTGAAAAGCTGATTGTAAAATTCACAAGGAAATGCAAAAGACCCAGGATACCCAAAACAATTCTGGAAAAGAAGAATTAAATTTGAGGACTTAACATTTTGTCTTAGTCATCTAGTGCTGCTATAACAGAAATACCACAAGTGGATGGCTTTAACAAACAGAAATGTATTCTCTCACAGTCTAGGAGGCTTAAAAGTCCAAATTTAGGGTGCCAGCTACAGGAGAAAGCTTTCTGTCTCTGTCAGCTCTGAGGGAAGGTCCTTGTCATGAATTTTCCGCTGGTCTAGGAGCTTCTTAGCGCAGAGACCCTGAGTCCAAAGGACATACTCCCCTCCTGATTATTCATTCTTGGTGGCATGAGGTCCCCCTGTCTCTCTGCTCAACTCTTTTATACCTCAAAAGAGATTGACTCAAGATACAACCTAATCTTGTAGATTTAGTCTTGCCTCATTAACATAACTGCCTCTAATCCTGCCTTATTAACATTATAGAGGGAGGATTTATAACACATAGGAAAATCACATCAGATGACAAAATGGTAGACAATCATACGGCATCATGGCCTAGACAAGTTGACACACATTTTGGGGGGACACAATTCAATCCATAACATTTTTCTGATTTTGAAACCTACTGTAAAGCTACACTAATCAAGATAGTTTGGTACTAGTCTAAGGATAGACATGTAGATCAATGGAATGAAATTGAGAATGCAGAGTTAAACCTTTCTATTTATGGTCAATTGATTTTTGACCAAGAAGCTGAGATAACTTAATGGAGGAAATAATAGTCTTTTCAACAAATGGTACTGTAAAACTTGAATATCTACATGAACAGAGATGAATTTAGACCTTTACCTCACACCATACACAAAGTTAACTAAAAATTTCCCATATATCTTAAAGTAAGAGCTAAAACTATAATTCCTAGACAAAAACATAGGGGAAAAACTTTGTAACCTTGGAGTTGAAGATTTCTAAAATATAACGCAAAAGCATGATCCATAAAATTAAAAAATTGATAAATTAGACTTCATAAAAATTAAGAACTTCTGCTCTTTGAAATATACCATTTAGAGAATGAAAAAACAAACCACAGGTTGGTAAAAATTATTTGAAATTGGGTATCTGATAAAGGACTTGTATCCAGAATATATAAAAAATGTATTTCAAAAACAGGAAAAAGATTTAAACACACTTTACCAAACAAGATTTAAAGATGACCAATAAGCACATAAATCGTTACTTAACATCATTAATCATTAGGAAAATACAAATTAAAACCACAATGAGATACAACCACATACCAATTAGAACAGCTAAAATGAAAAAGACTGATCATACCACGTGCTGAGAAGGATGTGGAGAAAATGGAGCTCTCAGATACCGCTTGTGGGAATGTAATATATGGCACAACTACTTTGGGAAGCAGTTTGACAGTTCCTTAAAATGTTTTCATATTTACCCGAGAGAAATGAAAGCATATGTCAATACAAAGACTAGTACATAAAATTTTACTGAAGTCTTACTTGTAATAGCCAAGAATGGGAAACAACTTAAATATCCACCAACAAGTGAATGGATAAACAAATTGTTGTATATCCATACAGTGGAACACTATTCAACAATTAAATGGAATGAACTATTAATACACACAACAAAAAATAATTGTTCTGCATGAAAGAAGCCTGAAAAAAGGAGGATGAGGGATATACTGTATGATTTCATTTATATAAAATCATAGAAAGTACAAACTAGTCTATAGTGACAGAAAGTATATCAGTTCTCTGGATAAAGGGCAGCAGAAGGGATGGGAAGAATGGATTACAATGGGGCTTGAATAAATTCTTGGGGATGATTGATATGTTCATTTTCTTGATTTTAATGGTTTCATGGGCATAAACATACATCAAAACCTATCAGTTGTACCCTTTAAAGATACCAGTTTTTTGTATTTCTGTAAAATACCTCAATAAAACCATTATACAAAAAGGAATTAACAGAGGAAGTATCTATAGATTAATAGAAATTTAAAAAACACATTAAAAAAATAAGCTAAACTAAACTATAGGGTTCAGGAATAAAATTTGGGTGATAAAACTCCAGTGGAAATCAAGAAAGTGATTACCATAAAATTCAAGAAAACAATTATTTGTAGGAGGCGAGGAGTTAGCTATAACTGGGAGCAGGGATATGAAGGACTTATACGTAGCTGTTAAGGTTTTATTTTTTTACCTGAATAATAATTACAAGAGTTTTTTCCTTATAATACCTGATTATGTTGTATATCTGTTTTATGTAATTTTCTATTTCTGTGTCATATGTTCTAATAAAAAAGGTTTTAAAATAGATGAATATTGTTTATGTTCTTGATGACTTTAAAATGATTACGTATTAGAAAATGAAAGTCATTCTACAAGTAGGGCAAAGCCATCAATAATCTAACATATTTCATTGTACAGTTTATAAGCTATTTTAAGGTGTATTCAGACAATGACACCTTATTAATTTGCAGTCTGAATAAGAAATTGAAATTGGAATATTACTATTTCTTAGGATATTAAACTTTTGAGTATTGGTGCAAAACCCTAATTATATAAGATCAAGCAAATGTTCATTTCAGTTTTAGAATTGTCTTTTCATTCTTTTTAATGGTTTCTATTTCTCTGCTGAGATATCCCATCTTTTTATTAATTATAGCAGATTTTCTTTTATATCTTCCAGCAGAGTTATAATTGCTCCTTCAAAAATCCTTGACTTCTAATTTTCAATATCTGGGTCATCTTAGAGTCAGTCCCCATTAATTGTCTTTTTTCTTTAGACTGGGTCATACTTTTCTCTTTCTTTGTATGTTGAGTAATTTTTTACCGTATTATGGACACGGTGAATGATATGTTGTGGAGACTCTGGGTTTCTTATAGTCTTCCAAAGGATGTTTTGTTGTTGTTTTGAGCAGGCAGTTAGTTTGGTTGGCTTTGACAAACTGTGACTCTAGGGTGGCAGCTCAAATCTCATTAAGTTATTTTATCTTTAACTGGGATCCTGGATTCTTCCTAGTGCAAGTGTAGTTCAGCGCTCAGCCTCAGATTTGGGTAAGGTTTATGTGCAGTGTTTGAGGCTCCCTCTCTGGTTCTCTCCTATTCAGGATTCCCCCTTCATTTTCTAGTGGGTGTAATTGTCTCAAACTCCGTCCTCTGGGTCTTCAGGCCAGACAGACTGAGTTTTCTACCAGATTTCTGTCAGAGTTTTATCTGTCATGCATGGTGCACACTGGGACCTGCCCTCAGGCTTAAGACCATCAAAAAACAAACACAAATACAAAACCAAAACTGATTGTATGCTTTCCCCTCATTCTAAGTGTCAGCTCCCCTCCAGAATCTGCCTGCTTTTGCTCACTGTCTAGTACCTTCACACAGCTCGGGTTTGTTTGTTTTGTTTTGTTTTGTTTTGAATACTGTCCGGAGTTTAATCTTTTATCTAAGGGGAGATTAGTCTGATAGGAGCTTACTTGACCATTACAGAAGTGGACTAAATGTTTATTTCTTCAAAGAAATATTATGATGATGCTAATATATTCTTTCTATAGATGAATAAAATAATGATATGAAAAATTATACCTTAACTATTTTAAAACAATATACTTGAATCTCTTTTGTATTGTTTTAGGAATAAATCTAATGAAGCTGATGACTGTCAAAGAAAACTTAGAAAGCTGAAGTTTGAATCCATTGTTTCTGAGTCACGGTATACAATGCAAGATTTTTTAATTAAAAATTTAATAACTGAACTTGAAACATTGTATTTAAAAGATACTTAGCTTTTCATATTGTATTGTTTACATATAAAATACCTAATCTGAGTTTAGAATGTCTTGCTGTAGTTCATTGATTTTGCCTCATGCCTACATAAGAAAAGTTTAACATCACAGAACTATCTATTTTCTTAACATATTTAATTTTTTTTAATTTAAAGTAATACTCTATAATTTCAAATGGCCTTTTCGTATATCTTTAATAAACACAAAAATCTCGTATCTAATACACATTGGTGGTTTGTTTGTTTTTTTAATTCTCTTTTAGTCACACAAGACTGCTTAAAGAAAAAGAAGAATCTTTAATGGCTTGTCAAAAAATACACACAACCTTACAGGAACAACTGACTGCAAAAGAAAGGCAAGAAGAAGATGCAAAAAGAAGAATTAGCCTTGCAGAAAATGAACTTGAAATAATGAAAACTCTTCTGAATCAGACAAAGGAAGAGGTTGTGACACTGAAAAATGAAAGGTGCAGTCAGAAATAATTTCTTACAAAAATATCTTATTTTTTAGTCGCTATTCCGTATATGGAGCCCTGGTGGCACAGTGGTTAAAAGCTTGGCTGCTAACCAAAAAGTCAGCGGTTCAAATCCACCAGGCATTCCTTGGAAACTCTATGGGGCAGTTCTACTCTGTCCTATAGAGTCGCTATGCGTCGGAATCAATTCGACGGCCATGGGTTTGGGTTTAGGATTCCATATATGGAGCCCTGATGGCACAGTGGTTAAGAGCTCGGCTGCTAACCAAAGGTGGGCAGTCCGAATCCACCAGCCACTCCTTGGAAACCCTATGGGGCAGTTCTACTCTGTCCTGTAGGGTTGCTATGAGTCAGAATTGACTTGACAGCAACGGTTTTTTTTGGATATTCCCAAATATAAAGATTCTGCATATTATAATAACAATAGAATGAGAAGATTAAAGATGTATTGCTCCTGTGAGTTGATAATATCCTTCCACCTCATTTTTCAGGTGATTAAACTGAAGCCCAAACAGGTTAAATGACTTGCTTAAAGTCATACAACTGGTTAGTGACAGAAGGAGGAATGGAACCCAAATTGCAGTTGGTATTAGATTTCTATTAAAAAGAATCAAATAAAACTATGTGTGGTACTTGTACTACTGAATTTCACCTGGGCAAGTAATTGGTGGAATTCTATAATTTTTTAACTCCCCCCTCAAAAAAACTTTCTGTATTATATTTTTATTGGTTGTCTGAGCAATTAACGTATTGTCTAGAACACCTCATTTCCAATGATGCCAGATTAGTGAGGCTTAGCTGTTTACCTAGGTGGATGTCAGCTCCTTTATGGTGGTTGTTGAGAAGATCCTACCTTTGTTCAAACTATTTGGAACTCTTCTCTGAGGACTGGCTTAAGGGACTATGCTTTAGAATTTCCTCAGTATGACAAATCTTTGCCCTTCAGGAATGGATATACTTTTTTCCACATTCTCAGATAGATCTAGTGAAAATAAGTCCAGTGAATATGATGGGAAATTAATCTCCCATTGGCTTTGGGACTGTTATGAAAAACGCGCCACTTAATTTAGAAGCTGTGTTGTTTCAGAAGAGGAGAAAGAGAATATGTAAGAAGCCAGAACTGACTCTAGAGTTCGGCTGCTAACCAAAAGCTCAGCGGTTTGAACCTACCAGCCGCTCCTTGGAAATCCTATGGGGCAGTTCTACTTTGTCTTATAGGGCTGCTATGAGTCAGAATTGACTCAATGGCAGTGGGTTTGGTTGGTTTTTGGATCCTAGAAAAAGACTGACAGAACTTCCGGATTTGGAACAGGAAAGGGAGTTAGGGATTAGGAGAGAAGTCATACATTAGTACAGATCTATTTAATTATCATATATTGTTTTCTTCTCCCTCCCCTCCCGGCTGAGAAAACTCTGTTTAGGAGAGAAGAGGCTTCGCTGAAAGGAAGGAACTAGGTCCTTTGGGGTCATGGGATGCAAGGTAGAGAAGGACTGGCCAGCTTGGTCATGGACACCTTCGGGCTGGCGAGAGCGGCCTTTGTGGAGCAGGAATGCAGTGAGGCACAGGGGTGGTGCCAGAGGAAAATGGGGCTGTTCTTATATTCTGTGTGAAGAGCACTCAGTTCCCCCGCTTCTGGGCCCCAGGGCCTCCTCCCGGTGCCACTGACAAACGACACCACTTCAGGTGTGCTGTTGGTTAGACAGGGTTCTGTGGGTTGGCCTGGGGGCCTAATTCCACTTTCCTTGAAAAACATTTTTATGGTAAAATGTGTTCTAAATTCCCTATAACCAACTTACAGATGCATTTTAAAAGGACATATGTGTTTAAGCTTGGAGACTTCCCATGTACAACACTTAGAGAAATTCATTCATGCACCGCCATGTAGCGTCCAGCCGAACTGCTGGAACTCACAGCTGTTTACAACAGGTCCTCACACCCTAGGTGTTCCCCAAAGCTGTGTTATCCGTAGCTCGGTAAATTCCGAGAATAGAGAAAACACTTCTCTGATGTCCTTGCCCAGAACACGACAGGAATGGGGAAGAGCGTTAGAGGAGAAGCTTAGCTGTAATCAGAGTCAGATGCAAGCTGCTTGCATGTAAAATATTCAGTGAAATAAATGATACCCTGGACCCCAAAGAATATCTTTCAGGCTCTAGGGATATAGCCCATGTATGCTCCCCCGTAGCATTAACTTCTCTTCCTATTCCCTGGTCCTCTCCTCTTTTGTTCTCTCTCTCTCTTTTTGGATTGGAAGCTATAAACCTTTGCTCCAGAAAAATACACACATGATTAGCAAATTATCTCAGGAAGTTCATGGCGTTTCCGGTTCTCCCATATGTGACAGGACCCCGTGGTTTACCACGCCTGTTTCTCGTTCTCTCTCCGTCTTCCCTCTCGTCTTCCCTCCCTCTTTCTCTCACTCACTGTCTCCCACAAGCTGCCCACAGCTTTCACAGTCGGGGACCTCTGAATGCCCCTGCGACCGTGACCGTATCTCGCCTTCGCACTGCCGGCGCACGGTGCCATGTACGATGCGCCATGCGCAGGGAAGGGATGAGCGGGGTGGAGGGCCAGCCCAGAGCCTGCCCTCCTTGCCCCCTGCCGCAGAAGAAGGGCTTGTTTTCCTTGAGTAACTGCGCCATCCGCCTTGTCGTGTTCCGTGTCCTTCGATCTGCCCGGAGGCGAAGCCCATCGCAAACGTGCACAGAGGCAATGGCACCTTGGTGGGGCCCTGGCCCCCGCCTGGGAAGCGGGCGTCGTTACCCACGTTTGGCAGATGAGGAACCTGCGGCTTAAGCAGATTTCTCACTCAGGGTCACATAACTGGGCACGACAGAAATCAAGCTCCATCGGGGCTGACCTATAGGCCCCGTGTCCTCCCCTGCCATTTGCACGGTTCTCCCAGGGTTTGTCTGGACGGGCTAACTTCTGTCAGCTTCTCTGGGCCCGACGTTTCTGTCTCAACCACGTTGTGGCTGTGAGTCTTCAGGAGACTCACAGCCCTGCAGGAAGCAGAAAACCCAGAGTGCCCCTCCACATCCCCTCTCCCCTCCCCTCCCTGCTTTATGGCACCTCCCTCTGCCCCCTCAGGGTTCTTCACTCACCCGGTGATCATGGGACAGTGACTCCTGTCTCCTGCATCCCCAGTGTCTTCGCAAAACTGGAAGTGGGCTTATCGTTTCAGATTGAAAATAGCATAAACACCTTCCACCACCTCATTCTAGAAGAAGAAAGCCTTAGTGTTCCGTGAGGCTTGTCATATTTTCGTAGAGCCCAGAAGCACTGAGAAGTGTAGACTCTAAAAAAGGATTTGGAGATGATGTGTCAAGACCTCTGATAGCTCGTGGCAGTGTGGCCTGGTATAAACAGACAGGCTGTACTGCGGGCAAACGTAGGCTTAAATCCAAACTGGGCCAATGTCAAGCTTGGACAACTTAACCACTTTAAGACTCGTTTTCTTTCTCTGTAAAATGGGCATATTAGTAATAGCTATCTTGTGGAGATTAAAGCATCTAGTACTGGGCCTGGTAGGTTGTAGGGACTCAGAAAGTATTATTCCCCCTCTTTCACCTTCCTTTAGGTTGCTAACCCCTTAAAGTGTTATAGCTTATTAATTTTTATACCTGGCATAGGCCATGTAGATACTCAGTAAATGTCTACTGAATTCAATATTATCTGCTTTACTTACAGTTGTAAAGACTAATCTTTGGTGTGATTCAATTTTGATTCTATCTTCTTAATGCATTATGAAATGAAGTATTCTAAGTAATATCATTTTTTAAAAAAACAGCCCTTATCTGACTTTCCCCCCAAGAGTCACCTCTTTCTCTGTTTTCCTGTCCATCAACAGCTCTCGGGACAAGAGGCCTGCCAAACTTCTTACAATCTCACAGCCTTACTGCTGTTAAGGGAGGCGGGAGCTGTGACCAAATCTAAATTCTCTCTTTGATTGACAGTATGAAGACGTCTCTAAAAGAACAACTTGTGAAGCAGAACTTAAAGCTGTCGTTCGACATTATGGTTTGACATTTGCTTGCAGTTCAGTTTTAACTACAAAGAGGGAGTCTGGATTTTCGTATGTGTGTAAGAAATTAGATTCTTTGCTTTTTGGTCTAAGAATTTAAAGGTTGAAAAAATTTAAACAAATACTCTTAATTTTGAGTAGAAGCTAATTTGCCTATTTTGCCAACTCCAAAAACGTTATGATTAGTTTAATATCTGGTGAAGTTACAGGGTAAAATGCCACAGGCAGCCACTCCTCCGTCTCAGGTAAGAAAAGGCAGCGTGACATGCAGAGCGCCCTGAGCTGGCATAGGCTTGAGCAGCTTTGCCACTTGTGAATCATGTCACCTCAGATAGTCATTTACCATTCAGGATCTTTGTTTCTTCTAAACATGAGGGAATTGCATTATCTTATTTCTAAGGAATGGCAAGAAAGAACCTTGTCTGCTTTTTTTTTTTTTTCCCCAACTGCTGTATCCCCAGAGACTAAAACAGTGCCTGACACATAGTGGTTACTAACAGATACGTACTGGATGAATGGGAATGCGTTTACTCCCAATCAACTGCTCACAGGATGTAAAACAGAGAGGGTCTCTTGTTATTTCTCTCAGGCCTGGAGAACTTCTGACTTGCCAAAAATCGTGCTGGGAATAAAGTTCAAAACCCAACGATTCTAGTGGTAATATTCTTTCTTAGATTCTTAGCAAAATCCCAGTTCAAGACCTAGGTCTGTGTTGTTTCCTGTAATTCTAAAGCATTAACAGCTCTAAAAATTGGTTCTGAAGAGGAAGTCAGATATGTGTATGATGTTCAAAAATGGCTGCACATTTTCAGCTTTTTATAACATGGAAAATGACAGACTATGCCTCTAAAAATTAGTGTTTTATTTTTCATAATTCCTCTAGATTTCTAGCAAAAATGTTCCCTAGAGCCAGTGATGGCCCTTTCTCATGTCTTTCAAAACAAGGCTGCTTTTTCTTTATCAGTGTCTTAAGGCGGGTGCACTTTAAAGCTAGGGGTGTGCTATGTAAGTATCTTCTTCTTGTAAGAATCGGGATTCTCTTTTCCACACATATAATCATCTCTGTATACGTCTCGCTTTGCCCATTCCATTCTAATAAGAACAGGAAGAGCTTGTAACGTCACATACAGTTATTCTTTCTTGCCTTGTTCCCATTAAAGAGTTGCACTGAATAGTTCTTGGAGTCAGGGACTGAGCAGGGCTGAGGAGCGGGTCAAAGAGGCACAAAAATGCTTCTTGTTTCTGAAACCATCCAATGTCCAGCCAACCGATATCAAGCACAATTTTCATCACAGATGTAAATTCATAATTTTTATAACAGTTCACTCAAAACACCTTATACTTTGTGGAAATGTCATAAAAGAACTTTTTTTTTAATCCAGTGAAAAATTATCACTTTATTAACAGTGTTTTAACTCTGGCATTGGAGCCCTGGTGGCAGAGTGGTTAAGAGCTACAGCTGCTAACTGAAAGATAGGCAGTTTGACTCCACCAGCCGCTCCTTGGAAACCCTAGGGGGCAATTCTACTCTGTCCTATTGGGTCACTATGAGTGAGTCAGAATTGACTCAACGGCAATGGTTTTGTTTTGTTTTTTTTTAATCCTGGCGTAAAGACCACTTTAAAGTGTTAAAAAGCAAAGATGTCAGTTTAAGGACTAAGGTGCACCTGACCCAAGCCATGGTGTTTTCAGTCACCTCATATGCATGTGAAAGCTGGACAATGAGTAAAGAAGACCGAAAAAGAATTTATGCCTTTGAATTATGGTGTTGGTGAAAAATATTCAATATACCATGGACTGCCAGAAGAAAGAACAAATCTGTCCTGGAAGAAGTACAGCCAGAATGCTCCTTAGAAGCAAGGATGGGGAGACTTCATCTCACATACTTTGGACGTGTTATCAGGAGGGATCAGTCCCTGCAGAAGGACATCATGCTTAGTAAAGTAGAGGATCAGCAAAAAAGAGGAAGATCCTCAACGAGATGGACTGACACAGTGGCTGCAACAATGGGCTCAAGCATAACAACGATTGTGAAGATGGCGCGGGATGGGGCAGTGTTTCATTCTGTTGTACACAGGGTCACTATGAGTCGGAACTGACTCGACGGCACCTAATGACAACAACAACCCTGGCATACTGTATTTTAGCTGCCACAACCTACTAGACTTCCACAGTTTTTGTAATACATGGAACAGCAGTGCTTTGTATGAGGCCCGTCAGAGGGATGTATATGGAATGGATTCTACTTTTAGTGGTATCAAAATTGTAACTATCTCCAGGAAGACTGAAATTCTAGCATCTGAAATATTTAGTGCCATCTACTTTGTAGTAAAAGTAGCTCTTAAAGTACTCACAGGCCCCCATCTGGAAATGCTCACTGGAGTTTTCTAATCAGCAAGACCTCTTTTCAAACAGGAAAACTGGCTTAAGAAGTAAAGTTGATCAAATTGCCAGGACTCTGCTGTCTGACCACTTCTAACAAGTGCATGGCCAGCCATATGCATTCTATGATCCTGGCATTTTGAAAAACAGATGAAATGCCACTTTATTTCCATTAGATGCTGCTTCTTATTTTGATCAAGATGATATGTAAAATGGTATGATATCCTTTGAAGGAAGACTACGGTGTTAGCTTCTTACTGGCTGCTGCAGCAAACTACTACAAAGTCAGTGGCTTAAGACAACATAAATGCATTCTCTTACAGTTCTGGAGTCCAGAAGTCCAAATGAGTCTTAAGGAGCAAAAACCAAGGTGTCACTAAGGCTGGTTTCTTCTGGAGGCTCCAGGGGAGAACCCATTCCTTGCCTCTTCCAGCTTTTAGAGGCTGCCCGCACTCCTTGGCTCCCGGCCACATTAATCTAATCTCTGCTTCCATTGTCACATTGTCTTTCCCCCAGATTGACCCTCTTGCCTTTCTCTTATACGAACCCTTGTGATTACATTTTGAGCCCACCCAGATAACGCAGGACAATCTCCGCATCTCAAGACCCTTAACTTAATCGTATCGGTAAAATCCCTTTTGCCATATAAGGTAACATAGTCACAGATTCTGGGAATTAGGACATGGTCATCTTTGGAAGCCACTATTCAGCATACCAGAGCCCTGTGTCAGGCACGGTGGTTAAGAGCTCGTTTATTCACCAAAAGGTCAGCAGTTCAAATCCACCAGCCACTCCTTGGAAACCCAAGGAGCAAAATCCCAAATAAAACCCCAACAGCCTTTCTTTTCCTAGACATTAAGAAACTAATTCTAAGATGTATATGGAAATGCAAAGGACCCGGAATAACCAAGACAACTTCGATAAAATCTTTGAATAGTCAAAATATCAAAGTCATACCTGACTTCAAGACTTATTTTCAAGCTAGGAATAATCAAAACGATGTGGTATTAGCATCAAGATAGACAAGTATATCAATGGAACAGAATAGAAAATCCAGAAATACATGAGCAGTCGATCTTCTACATGGGTGCCAAGGCAACTCATTGGGGAAAGAATAGGTTTTTTAACAAATGGTGCTGGGACAATCGGGTCTCCATCTACAGAAAATGAACTTTGATTCATATACAATAATTAACTCAAAATGGATCATAGCTCTAAACAGAAAACTTAAAACTATAAAAATGCTAAAAGAAAATGGTGATTATGAAAGGGGAAAGAAGCCCTGATCAACAAGCTATGTTTTTGCCACTACTAGTGATATTCAAGGAGCCCTAGTGGTGTAGTGGTTAAGAGCTTGGCTGCTAACCAAAAGGTCGGCAGTTTGAATCCACCAGCCAATTCCTTGGAAACCCTACAGGGCTGTTCTACTCACTCTGATAGGGTCGTTATGAGTTGGAATAGACTTGACAGCAATGGGTTTAGGTTTTTTTTTTTTGTTTTAGTGATATTCAAAGACTCAATTTTAGTGTCCCTGTGAAATTTTCTCTTGAATCTACCTACCCAGAGGTTCACAAACTGAGCTTTTAGATCCTTTAAGTAAATTAAAATGTTAAAGTGTTCTTTACGTTTTCTAATTTCTAATATGTTTCGTCCTATACCACATCCCTGACATTTACCCTCGACTTAATGTGATTTGTTCCCATCAGCATTTGAGATCAGTAAAGAAAAATCCAGCAGGAACTGCTAAAATTTATTGATTTTATGACACATCCCAACATATTTTCCTTTTCTAAGAAACAAAAGATTGTCTGGTGTTAGAATTTAGTTGTCAGCTTTTTGAAGAACAGCTTATTCTATTTGTGACTCCAGATGTGTTGTTTTTATTTTACGTGAAAACAATAATTCATAACTTGTTAAAAATTTAGCCTGAGCACATACTTACCTTGTATGCAGTGTCTATAAATTTCTGTTAACAGTTAATCCAGTTCCTAGTAGCAGAGTATACATCGCTCCAGAAAATAAACAGACTAAGTTATGAACTAATATTCTCTGAGCCAGGAACTGAGACTGAGGGAGAGTGTTAGGAGTGAGTCTTGACTCATGTGTTGGGTTTATGGTTTTCAGAGAGTTGATGCTGATTTCCCATCAGAAACGCGTCAAGCAGCTGCAGGAAACCCTTACACAGAAGCTGCTGAGTGATGATAACTGGAGGGAGAAGGTAACGATGCTGTGTCTGTTGTCAGCGTGTCTTTCTTTGCTTTCTTTAATTCTGTCCATTTGCTGGAAGACCGTATCCCAGCGCGATCTCCTTGCTTTTGTGCACTCTTTTGGTTCCTTCTGGAATTCCTAGACCAAACATGCTGTCGATGCGTGTCTTTTCCAAAATATTAGACAACTAAATGAGAAATAAAAGATCCAAATAGAATTTGAAGCCTTGCAAGATTAAAATAGCCCTTAGTTTTCATGCAAAAGTATGATTTTTTACTTTGATATATTTAGTTTTTTTCTCATAAAGTGGCAGAGTCTGCATTTGACTATGTTCTTAAAAGCAGGGAAATATTAATTCTAACAACTTCTCTGTTTTTAAGAAGATAATATAAGAGAATGGAAAATGACTAAAAATTACTTAATTATGAACATTTGACATATTTGTCCTGGCAAAGTAAAAATGAATAAGTATTTAGTTTTCTGGCTATTAGTTACAAAGAAAATGTTCACTCAGAGTATGCAAAACAGTGCATTGATTTTTGTCTTTGGGCTTTTCTGTATTTTTCCAGGGTTCAACAATGAGTGTATATTACTTTCATAATTTTAAAAGAATATAGCAGGTAATATTTTAAAAAGTCGTTAGTGCTTACCTTCCCAAACCATGCATAGGTGTAGTCATTGGGGTGATGGCCTCGTACTTCTAGACTTATCCTTGGACCCTGCCCTGCACACTGAGCCAAAGCCTTCCCCAGCCCCTTCTCTTCCCCGACCTGTATCTATTCCTAACAGTAGCCTTCTGCCTTGGTTTTCTGATTATGTCTTAAATTTGCCTCTAGAACGGGACCTATCCTCTGAAATTCAGATTGCTTGGCTGAAGCCCTGACAACCGTTTGGTTATTAACAGATTCTTCTCCTTTGGGACTAGAGCAACAAACTTAGGCCACCTTCAAACTGACATCTCCACCCAAAATACCGCATTCTTCCACCCACCATATTGAAACCCTTTAGGCATTGTTGCTGGCCCACGTCAAGGCTGAATTGGTTGCCTTCATTTCCAAACTTCAAACAGTTGGCCACTCTCAGCCAGTACTAGCCCACTGTAAATTGATTCTCCTTCCCTTGTTCCTCCGGATGCACAATCAGGCTGGGACAAAAATGATCACTATAATAACGGTTCCATATGGACAAAAATCAAACTTTGAGAATATGCAGTAAAGTTGCCATGAGCATCTCATTCTTTGTTTTGTTTTATGCATAGGCTATCTCCTTTCCTTTTTCTCTAAGGCCCACACTTCCTTTAATTCTTTTTACATTTATTAGGCTCAGTCAGTGGACTTAACTGGCTAGTCTGCTCTTATTTACTTCTCTCATCCTTACCAATTTATGTTTAAAAAATTCAAAAAGAGGTGGAATGTTTGGCCTAACTAGTAATCAAAAAAAGGGAAAATGAAAACAATGAGAGATTTTTTTTTTAAATTCATCCAATTGGTAGAATGGTTTTTAGATTGTGATGAAGTAAGGTAGTCTCTCTCTCATACTCACTCTGTAAGGGATTGCAAATTAAGGCAACGTTTTGGAGAGCAGTTTGGAAATATGTATCAAAAGACACCGTAGAGTTCCCATCACGTGACTCAGAAAATTCACCGATGGAATTAACGTGGACAAAGATTGATGGCTCCTTCTCTTGCCGCAGACTCCTCCTGAGTGCCTTCTCTTGGAACAACAGAGGGACCTTTCCTGTCTTTGCTTGTGTAGAAGTTGCCCATCTCTGCATTCACATCCCGCTAGGGGTTTTCAGATACTCTTGACTGGAGAAGAGGTCTCTGTGTTCAGGAGCTGCTCCAGTACTCCAGCTCACCGTGGCCTGGTCCTGAGGTGCTGACGTATGGAGGAGAGCAAGTCCTGTTAACATCTGACCGTACAAAAGTATAATGTTCTTGCTTTATGCTGCTAAACTAATTGTGCTTTATGCTGGGAAGCTGATTTGATAGTAAAAATAAACCTATATAAGATTCTCTAAGTTCTAAGACCATGACATTTTTCTAATAAATTAATTATACCACAGACTTATTTTTGGATGTATATTTTTCTATAGTACAAATGAACATTTCATTATATTGAGAGAACATGACTTCTTATTAATAAATGTTATCATTTAGCTTAGCAGTAAATCAAGATCCAGACAAACAAAGCGGTGGAATGATAATTATGTCTTGGCTGTGTTAGCTACTGAGATTAGAAATAAAAAGTTCCCTAAAAGTCCTCCCATGAGAAAGGAGAATCACTAGTATGACATTGTCATCTCTTTCTTGGGTCACTGTGCCTTTGCGTAGGAATGAAATGTTCCCTTTACAAATATATAATACGCATATTAGAATAAACTTCATAACTTAAATGCTTTTAACATTCAAAAAAGAAAAAGTAGATAGCAATTTGTGCCTGTGCTTAATTATTTTGGAGTATGTAAAAGGCACATAATAGAATCAATAGTTGCTATGCAACAAGGATGGCACATTTTAAAATAACTTTGTATTTACTAATTGCCACGGAATTTTGTTTATTTCAAGTATTGCTTTGATGTGAAGAAAGTAAATTAATGTGCTTGCTGAACATTTAAAACTGGTTCCAAATGCACAATATTGTTACTATCCAGTTCAAATTTTCTAATTAAATCTCTTATAGCCATACTGTTTATACAATCAACTCACATCACTTTACACAATCAACTCACATCACCTATCACTTTTTAGTTCCATAAACAAATTCTAAGATAGATATTACCAAAATATCACATGTAAGAACATTTTAGAATTGCACTGTTGAGCTCATTTTAAATAGTACGTAGAGCTTTTTAAAAACCAGTAAGTAAAACAAACAAACAAAACCTTACTTCCCGACTGAAGCAATTGGATTTATGGTGGAAATGGGGGAAGGGGCGGTTTACTCCAAGAAATAGCCAACCCCAGAGTTGAAGGAAGGCAAACAAAAATCTTAAATTCTCTTTTAGAAATGGAAGAGCCAAATGGCCTAATAATTCCTAATGTATTTCAGTGTACCGTTAATGAGATTCGGAGCCCTGGTGGCGCAGTGGTTAAGGAGCTCGGCTGCTAACCAAAATGGTAGTTCGAATCCACCAGTTGCTGTTTGGAAACCCCATGGGCAGTTGTACTCTGTCCTACAGGGTTGCTATGAGTTGAAATCGACTTGACGGCAAGGAGATTGGTTTGGTTTTTTATTAATGAGATTTAAAAGAATAACTATAAAATACAAAATTTGACAGAGTCGAAGTTATTTCCAAAATACCAATTTTCAATGAAGCACAGTAAATGACCCACAAAGATCATCTGATCTAACTCCTTAACGTAAGTAATAAACATAGTCTCATTACTAGAAGGCTTACTATATGCCAAGCCTTGTATTGTACGGTTCCCATAAAAGTAATTTTAATCATCATAATCACCATTTTTCACATGGGAAAAAAAAAAAAAGGATCAAAGTTAGGCAGTTAGCTCAAGGTCATATAGCCAGGAAACGACAGAGCTGAGAATTAACGTCTGTGTGTCTAAATGCTAAGTCCAAATCTGACAGGGGACAGAATTGCACTCCCACATGAAGCAACAAAAACACTGGAGAAAAGATAGGAAACAAGGGTTTCAAAATATCAGACATCAAGCAACAAAGGACAGTGATTCTTGGAGACAGGAAACAAGGTGAGCCCTGTGATTGCCCCAACGTAATGCCTTGAAAGAAATTCCAGGCCGTGGTTCAAGGGGAGTTTGGCCGATTCTCTGAAATGAGACATTGATGAGAGTCCAGGAAGATGTGAGTGGCTAGAGCTTGCAGAGTACAGTACAAGAGAAGAGAGACCTGCACAGAGAGAGAACTCTGGAGACAGAGAGTGCCCCCTGAGTATGTGTATGATCAGCGCATATGTGTTGGGGAAACTACCCAAAGCTGGGGAAAGATCTACCTGAAAGGATTAGAGAGAACAGTACCCAAAACTCCCACAAGGCTGGGAAGAACAATATTCCTGCTAGCTGTCTGGAAAACCTCATAATTCACAGGGCATTGGGTTAAGTACTCAGAAGGGTCTTACCTCAGTAGTAAGGAATAATTAACCCTAGACAAAATGCTGATCTAGTCCTGCCTACGATATTTTTAAAGGGAGACCTAAAAGAATCAAAGTGATTACAAGAAACTAAACTGCATCCCAGAACAGAGCTCAAGAATATTCATAGGAATGCAAAAATATCCAGCACCTAACAAGACAAAATTGCCTGACATTTTATCACACATGCCTGGCATCCAGTCAAAAATTGCCATGCATGCAAAGAAAAAGAAAACAGGCTATAACGAGAAGAAAAATTAACGAATAAAAACTGACCCAGAATTGACACAGATGTTTGAAATACAAACAAGCACATTAAAACAGTTATAGTAACTATTCCACATGTCCAAAAGCTAGAGGAAAGATTGACCATGTTAAGTAGAGACATGGAAGTATTTAAAAAACCCAAACTAAACTTCTGTGAATGAGAACTGCAATGTCTGAGATTAAAAACACACTTGATGGCATATTAGACATTTCAAAAGAAAAGTTTAGTGAACTCAAAGACATAGCAATAGAAACTATTCAAATTAAACAAGAGAGAAAAAAAACTCCAAACAAACAAAACCAGGGAACTGTGACCTGTTAGACAAATTCCAGTGACCTAATGTACGTGTAGGTGGCTGGATAGTGCGAAAGGTTAAATGTTTGATTCCTAGCCAGAAGGTTGGCAGTTCAAACATACCCAGAGGCACCTCGGAACACAGACCTGGTGATCTGTTTCCGTAAGGTGACAGCCTTGAAAACCCTATGGAGCAGTTCTACTCTGCACACATGGGGTCGCCATGAGTTGGAATCAACTCAATGGCAACTAGCACCAACAACAAAATATATTTGTAATCCCTGAAGTACAGGAGAAGAGGGGACAGAAAAAATATTTGAAGAAATAACAGCTGAAAAAT